GCATTATCTATATCGGTTTCTCTCTCTCTGCCTCTGCCTGGGTCTGTGTGTGTGTGTGCGTATATCATATCTACATACCGCTCTATTATTGTTAATATTGATATCTACCCATTAGCACAACATTATATGTACAATCTATTATATTCTGTGAAATCAGATTTAGTACAATTTATTGGGCCCTGGCTCTGGTGCTGGGCCTTCTGCTGCCGGTTTCTACTGTTCATCAATTAGTTCATCGCCTGCGGCCAACGCATTCGCTTCGTGTCTGCGCCCCTCGTACCTTCCGATCGTTCGGTGCTCTATAGGGATACGGCTCCGATCCCAACCTTAACACCTTCATCATGGATATTGCCACACAGTCAAGCAAATCTTCCTTCTCCATAGACAACATATTGGATCATAAGACGCGAACGAGTCACAGTCCCACCGCCACAGATGCCGCAAATCGATCGCAATCGCGTCGCACCTCTGCCCACAGTCCTGTGGCGGCGACAACATCTGTGGTTACCATACCCAAGGCAACCATGGCCACTGCCTCGCCACCCACCACCACATCGGGACCGTCCATCTATGATATATCCCGCGAGACGGTCGCCGCTCAATATGCCCTCAAGAATCTGGAGTCCAGTCAGGTGTTGTCGCCCACGACGCTGCGCTTCAATCCCATCTATCCAGATCCCGCCTCGTTATTCTACCAACAGATGCTGAATCTACAGAAGAATCCTTCGCTCTTTATGCCCCACTTCCAGGCAGCAGCCGTTGCTGCAGCAGCCGCCGCCCAACCGACAGGCTATTGTGATCAATACAGTCCGTTTGCCATGGACTGTGAAGGTGAGTACAAGTAGGGGATCACAGCTACTATAATATAATATAACATACTTACTATACCATATACGTATGGTATGCATAAAGGATAATGAAGGTATATATGGGATAACATGGAGGGGATACATATATCAGAGGCTAGAGAGGATAAAAGGTGGAATATTCCTAACTGACGATCTCTCATAGATATTTAGAAGAACTCATGTAGCTAAAGTTCCTTATGGGAAACTGCAAGATGTTTATTCCGATGGGATTCATAAAGAATTTAGGGATCTTCGAGATTTTCTAAATGGAATGTGAAGAGTGACTAAAGTGGCAACACTCTTCTTACAAAGTCTAGAAAGGATCTCACAAGGATTTGCTGGACATATCTGGGACGTCTATATTCCATATTCCGTATATAATTTAACATTTCCAATGTGAGACTTCCCTGGGTAAAAACTTTCCCCTGGGCATTTTAAATTTTAAATTCCCAATTTCTCAGGTCCACCCACTATTAGCATTCGGTCATAGATAATTGTGAAATACCGGATATGAGTCAGAGAGTTCGTATCATATATCATGAATGAATGAGCGATACAATTATCAATTATAGGCTAAACATGCTGATAAATGTAGCAACTTTATAAGTACTACTACATTCATAAACAAGTGAGATGTTAATCCCATCAAGATATGAGGAAATGTGTACCTGAAAATTATGAATAGTTTAGCAAATAAATGAGGCAACTTTGGTAAGGTCTTAGGAAATTACAAACACAAATTTCTGTTGAACTTTCACACAGAGTTAGCCAGTTTTTGTATATCTCCAGGGATTAAAGGGTAACCCCTGAGACAGTTCCAAGTTCAAGTCAATGAACTTGATGGATAACAAGCCCATAGTAAGTAATCCCTGACATATGGAAATTGATCGACCTTGATGGGAACAAGTCTGAAAATTATGTTAAAGTCCTCATTGAAATACAGTCTCAACCGTTCAAAGTCCAGCACTGTTCAATCTACCAATAATATTACAATGAGGATCCCACACAAAATGGGCCATAAACATGATAAATGTGTGTGCCCTGTGGGATGTTTGTCAAAGTCAAGTGTTGGCGCCAATGCCACTTGAAATCTAACTTTCTCTCCCCATCTGACTCCCCCCAGTTGCATTCTCAGTGCAGTGTAACGGTAGAATAACAATAACCCCACCCACCTTTTGAGAACTCAGCCAGAAACCAGGGGAAATTGTAATATGTACTGATAAAGTCGCCGCCCTAATTCTACCCCTAACTCTGCCACCCGTCGGGAGTGGACAAACATTCCAAATATTTTTTCGGGGGCCTTATCAAAATGACAAATATTTGAAATTGAGGTGAGAGCCGATCAGAAGCCATAAGAGCAGTGCGTTCATATGGGGTATATGGCATCGCTGGGAAACCAAGTGACAACTTTGGGACTATCTATGGGGGATTAATGTGTCTGAAATCTTCTATAGAATTTGAATAACTATAAAGCAAAACCAGAAAAGGCTTTACTAAGATTAACTATCTATACATATAAGAAGCTATGGGAAGGTTTTAAACAAGAAACAAAGTAAGCTTAATATATAGGTACTCTATGGCTCCCATATACTATGACTGCATAGAGTTTTTTTTGGGAAATGATAAAGAAAAAACCTACACATAATAAAGATTTAATAAGTCATCAAGTGATTCAATAAACTGAATCAATCGATTTCTTTGATACAATAAACTGAATCACTTGGAATATGATCCAATCAAAGGTATTGATTGGACTACTTTTGAATTATTTCTGCTTACGGAATAGCAATTATTCTTTTGCAATTTCATTCCTTAAGGAACTACACTTTCTTTTGGATGGCCTCAACTTTTATAACTTCCAAAATCGATATACATATATCTCTCAAACTTTCTAAATTGGTAGAGTATTCTAGCTTCGGTCTGACAATTGTGGACTTTATTGAACCATTCACATTCCCATTTCGATTTCCGATTTGTGTTTGGCTTATCTAAACGAAAAATGCTATTAGAGGCGATTAATAGGCGCTGTCCATCATCTTCTTGTGGCGACAATTGCCATTTGATTTCGATAAGCTCGTCCGTTGACGACGCTCGTCCGCCGCCCCCTCGGGGGAGTGGATCGGTGGGTGTATGGCTCGACAAGTGCTTGATATGATTTGGTTTTTTTGACATACACATTATAAAATAATAACAAATTCAATTCTCAACGAGTGACAAAAAAAAACAAAACAAAAAGCCACCCGTCTACGGGGTATGCAGTAGATCTTTTTTTAGAATGCGTTAGATGTAGACCAGACCGTAGGACCGGAGCTTATCGCGGTATACGCCACTTAATAAAAATAAACGTTAATAAGCGTATTTGTAATGATTTAAATTATGAGCTCTGTTTATTTTTATGACACTGCAATTTCCACAATATATTGGCAAATGGACATAGGTCCTATCTTTGATACGTGTCTAGGGTTATGAGGTAATTGAGTCCCAAAATATTAGATTAGATCAGAATTATTGAATGAGCGCAATTTAAATCTTTCGACAAGTGCGAATTTCCGTTACGTCAACAGCAGAGAGAGCGTCCACCCCACTCTGCGGCAGTGCGTTATCAGCCCACTCGAGGTCGTACCATCGCCATATACTCATACGAGTGCTCGTACAATCGGATTGCTTGTCGGGTGGTAGCCGAACCTCAATTACCAGCAATAGATTCCGCTCAATAGCCCCTGGGACATACTACCACACACTCGTATATGGAAAGGGAGCCGAAACCGAAACCGCACTCGTACTCGTACTCGTACTCGTACTCAATTTCTGATTTCATTCATTTCGCAATGGCGACCAAAGTTTTCAGCCCACTTACAAGTGGGCGTTGACATATTCCCCTGATACTGATACCGATACTGATATATACTCCAATACACATGTATAACTTGGAATAGTTGTGTCTGATTGCTTTGATAAGAGCTGTTCGACAGAGTGGGACGCAGATAGATAATGGGGGAATCGGTCAATTGGAGCGACCAATCGAAATTGAATGAGTGTTCCAATTTATATCTAAAAGATAGCTAGCATTTTTATATCAAACAGAAGTTGTTTCTTTCAAGAGTCACTTTAAGGTTTACAAGGAATTTTTGCATAGATATGGAATAGGTGTAGCTTCAATACACATATACCAAAGGTGTAATTAGGGTGACCTAATCGATCAGATGATGAATTGTGTGCTGATAAACCAGACTGGAAATTCAAAGAATCATTTACGGAAATATTTCTGTGGGTCGGGGATTCTAATAAAAATAATTCGGGTATTATACGAATATATCCATCGAGTATTAAAGAAATTGTTAAAAGGATTTGATAAAAATGTGTTTTCCGAAAGATCAGAAAGATATTTGTGGATATGGAAGGGTTTTATATAGAACTAAGAACTAGAACAGATACTTACCTTTCCCTAAGGTATTCCCTTACTCAAAATCGTACCTCAAATCTTCTCTCAACTCCAACTAAAACCTTCCATTGCTCCGCTCTTTCTCCCTCTCTCTCTCTCATAGGCTTTCCCAATCCGGCCTCCGCTGCAGCCGCTCTCTACTGCAACGCCTATCCGGCGGCCAGCTTTTACATGTCCAATTTTGGGGTGAAGCGCAAGGGCGGCCAGATCCGATTCACGTCCCAGCAAACGAAAAATCTCGAGGGCCGTTTCGCCAGCTCCAAGTATCTGTCGCCCGAGGAGCGCCGCCATCTGGCGCTGCAGCTGAAGCTGACGGATCGTCAGGTGAAGACCTGGTTCCAGAATCGCCGAGCCAAATGGCGGCGGGCTAATCTCACGAAACGCAGTGGGTCGGCAGCCGGATCAGCAGGAGCCTCCTCAACGGCGCCCAGCTCCAACAGCAGCACTAGCTCCGCCTACGGCACAGCCCTGACGTTGAGCAGCCGTCGGAGTGGCAGCGGCCAGCAGAGCGACGAGGAGGACCGCATGTATCTGTCGGAGGATGACGAGGACGACGATGACGAGGAGGAGCCGGCGGAACCATTAGCCGACCCCTTGGTCAAGTGAAGCTCGTGGATTGGGATGGGGGGGACTTACTCATAAGATAGTTCAGTTTATAGTTTAGATTAAATAAATTTATTTCAATTAGCATAATGGATGCCTAGTGGACCCTAGTGGAACTGGTAGCTGTCGAGGCAGGCGCAATTCGGCAGCGTGCAGCGTGGTGCCAGGTTCGATAGGTGCCCCATGGTGACCGGAAAGGAGAGCGGCACAAACCATTTGGGGTAGGCACAAATGGCCGCAGCTGCTGCTGACGGGTTGCTACCAAATGCGGCACTTGGGGGCTTCAGCTCCATCAGTGGTTTGCTTGGGTACTGCAAGGAGTAGCAGCTTTAGACGACTCCTCTCCAGCGAGGTTTTAACACACTCACCTGATCTGCTATGACCGGCCTGAAGGCGCTGCTCCTTTGGGGCATGGCCAGCTGTAGGCTTTGCATTGAAGTATCTGCCATTGGCAGTAGGGATTTGGATACCTCCATGGAAGCTGTCGCTGCTGCTGGAGAGACATTCTCTATGGCCCGTATCAGGTCGAGATCGCAGCGTTTCAGCACCAGCTCCAGGACAGATCGTTTCCTTTGAGGAAAAAGCTGCGCCAGCATATCGATGGCCGTCTGCGAGACATTCTCCCGTCGGGTAGCACTCAAATCCTGGGCCACCGCCGGCGGCTCACACAGTTCCTCCTGCTGCTGTTGCTGCCTTTCTACCGTCATTGGTTGCTTCTCCAGATGTTCATCTTCCTTCAGTTGCTGGGGAGAACTGGGCTGCGTGACGGTCAGGCCAAAGATGTTGCCCGGCGGCAGGGCATCGATGGAGCGTCCCGTTTTGTTGGCCACCAGACGCATGGCAATCGCATCCTCCACCGCCTGTTGGCGCTTCAGGGCGACCTGAAGGCCACCAAACAATTGAAATTAATATGCGACAAGTGAACATCTTCCTCTGACTCTGTTTCTATTTGACTTTTCGACAAACAAAAGCCACAGCAATTCCTTGGGGTATCACACGTCCCCATTCCTACCCTAATGAAATGCGAGACCAGGCCACACTTGTGCAAACAGTTTTGGTAAGCGGATATTTTGCTCGATTTGTTCCTACGCTTTGACAACTTTCCATCATCATCAGCAGGACTCAGGCCTCGTAGATTTCACCAGGCTGGTTATCCTGACTAAATCTGTTCTACGTATTCCATTTCATTGGTTCTTTGAGTTGGAATGGGGGGTGTCTGCCCATCGGGTATTTGTTTTTGAAATTAGAGCAAGGCGAGCATTTAATCTAAAGACAATATGAATGGTATAGCTTATAGGAATATTCTGCTACAGAATTCGGTGGCAATGATTGATTGAATTGAATTGTAATTGTAAATATTTCGATACTGATTGAAAAATCTTTAAGTTTAACGTATTTCTAGTAAGCGGATCTCTTGAAATTTGTTAGATCTTTTGGAATATGGCTAAACAGGTTGAAGATTCAACAAATTGGAAGGATTTGGGTCTTCAACAGTTAAGTATGAAGATACATTTGTATCTTAATGTATCTATCCATTTGGGCTGTGCATTGCATCGGTTTATAATATAAAATTGGACGTTGATATGCAACGACTGAAACCAAGCCGAAGCCTGTGACGAGCGGATGAGCCGCATAACGCGCGACGCGTATTGCAGGAAAGGTGGATGTTTGACTAATATTCTAGAAAAATTTGAACCAAATCGAACCAAAAGAACTAAGCATGCATTACAAATTAAAAGTACGTTTATTAATAGTTTATTAATTAATGTTAGTATTATTAATTTCTAGAGAGGGGGCAATTAGTACTGGATAAAATTTAATAGACCAAATATAGTAGAGCATAGGGTCTTTAGGGTCTAAACGGTTCATGAAAAAATAATTTGATTTACAAAGCGGCAGGAACTGTTTTCATAGTTTCCCCTTGCTTACCTGAGCCGCCATTATGCGTTGCCTCTCGAAGATCAGGACACACTTGGCACACTTGCAGTTCTTATAGGTGCAGAGCTTCTTGTGGCCTCTCAGTTCCGATATAATGCCATGATTACGACAGCGGGCGCACTTGGGGACTCGATTCGCGACCTTGGGCTGCGGGGACTCTACTATTTTAAGACTTTTGGAGCTTGAGCCTGCTAAACGAGAACGCTTGCTGGGCACCTCACTAATAGAATCATCATTGACACTGGCCATGGTGTTTCGTAGCCGTGAAAGGAAAAGACTCAATTAAAACTGATAATTGACCAAAGAAGTTGCAGTGGCGTCGAGGAAGATATTTGTGGCTTTGTTGGGGGCTAGCGAAAAGAAACTAAATTTTGGAAACACTTGGACCCAGGATTTGGAATTGTTTCAAAGCCAACTTGATGCTGAAGCTTTGTTGACTTACGCAGGCGCTTTGGCTTTGCGAGGACTTGCCAAGTTTTTTGTGATTCCATTGGTGGTTGCTTGGAATTCAGACTCCACCCATAAGACTCTGGGTGGGGGTTGTGGGAGGAGCAAAAATTCCGAGTCTCTAATGATTGGTAAAAATAGAATAGGAATAGTTTATGGAAGAAAACAGAATCTGTTTGTAGTGTATATTGTTAGTTTATATTTATTCAAATTACAAATAAATCCGTTGGCGCCAAACAAGTTCAAAAAAATATCATAGGAGTCCGATAAGACGAAAATATCGATACAAATAGATCCCGCAAAAAACTTACCGATATATACAGTTCTTATAAGCAGTGTTGCCAATTCAGACATTTTATAGCTAGTACCGGGTAAATTTATATAGCTATGTGTCACAATTTCGTTTTTTTTAATGCAATTTTTGTGCATTATGTGGCGCAGCTAGTAATATTCGACGGAATATCCAAATCGAGGAATATGATTTCCGATCATGAACACAGAACGGTTAACCCATTGCCGACCAGTGGGTATTAAAGTGCAAACCACGAAAATTATAGGTCTTGACGAATTTTAGCTTAGTTCAGGTGAAAGATATCGTGGGGTTTTTGCAACTGGATATCTTCGATATGCAAGATTAATTTAAAATCAGTAATATTTTCCGCCATTTCTCTCAAGTCGTTTCACTGTTTAAATAGAAGGGGCTTCAGTGGGCTAAGTTCGTCTTATCAGCGGTCACACTGTATTTCTGTTTCCCACAAACCACTGTTTCCCATCACAAAGTTCCAATTGGAGATAGCCAGCCCAGCACGTGTCCCCAAATAGACCGACTTGTTGTTTGACTAGATTTAGACTCTGCCGATAATTATGGTTGCCCAGGAGTCCGATAAAATGAAGGCGCTCGCGCTCAAGTTGTTCGAAATCAATGCGTTCAAATTCGGCGACTTCAAGATGAAGGTGGGGATCAATTCGCCGGTTTACTTTGATCTACGTGTAATTGTCAGCTATCCGGATGTGATGGTGAGTGTTTGTGCGTGTGGCTGTTTCTGTGATATCATCATTAGTGTATCATCATTACTGTACTTAATTTCCCTAGCAAACAGTCTCGGATTTGCTGGTGGAGCACATCAAGGAAGTGCCATTGAGCGCCAAGCATGTATGCGGCGTGCCCTATACGGCCCTGCCTCTGGCCACGATCGTCTCCGTGCAGCAGGGCACGCCGATGCTGGTGCGGCGGAAGGAGGCCAAAGCCTACGGCACCAAGAAGCTCATCGAGGGCATCTTCAATGCTGGGGACACCTGTCTGATTGTCGAGGATGTTGTCACATCGGGCTCAAGCATCCTGGAGACAGTTCGTGATCTGCAAAGCGAGGGTATTGTGGTTACCGACGCCGTTGTGGTAGTCGATCGAGAGCAGGGCGGCGTGGCCAACATAGCCCAACATGGCGTGAAGATGCACTCCCTCTTCACGCTGTCCTTCCTGCTGAACACCCTGCATGTGGCGGGCCGCATCGAGAAATCGACCGTGGACGCGGTGGCCAAGTACATAGCCGCCGCCCAGATTAATAGCGATGGCTCTTTCGTGGGTGGCGATAAGCCCGATGTTACCGGAGGTGTGTATGCTCTATATTTTTTTAGTTCCCCCCCAGATATGGTAAAGATAATGAATACATGACATGCGCGCATGTACGGTTTAGTCGGTCCCGATGAGCTCTGATTGCCCAGCGGCCACAAATCCCCATGCCCCCGGTCTGATTCAATTAGGGACGTGCCATAAACTACCGCCTAAATTAGCTTTTATTTTCCCTTTGATATAAATATTTGTTATACTGCCGCCATAAAAGCTGTTTCGCCCGACTGGTTTCCAATCTGCCTTGAGTAGAGAGCGACAAGATCAGGTTTGAGGCTACTTAAAGCCGGCACGTGATGCCAGAAAGCGTTCAATGAATTATGTCATGCTTATCAGCTAATCGAGTGCCAAAGACCCTCTCCAATTGAATCTATTTAAAGGCATTCTCCCTGCTGATACTAAAAATACGCAAACGTTTGTGTTTCTTTCGCCAGCCAATGACTTGCAGCGCACCAAACTGACCTACGAGAGTCGCGCCAATCTGGCCAAGAGTGCGGTGGCCAAGCGCCTTTTCAACTTGATGGCCAGCAAGCAGACGAACCTCTGCCTGGCCGCCGATCTGACCAAGGCCGACGACATCCTGGACATAGCCGACAAGTGCGGCCCCCACATCTGCCTGCTCAAGACGCACGTGGACTTTGTTGAGGACTTTAGCGAGGGATTCATTACCAACCTGAAGTCACTGGCCAAGCGGCACAACTTTCTGCTCATGGAAGATCGCAAGTTTGCGGATATTGGCAATACCGTTTCTCTGCAGTACGGCAAGGGCATATACAAGATCTCCAGCTGGGCGGATTTGGTGACAGCCCACACCCTTCCTGGTCGAAGCGTTCTTCAGGGCTTGAAGGCGGCTCTTGGCCCGGGTGATGCCAGCAAGGAGCGTGGTGTCTTTCTCCTGGCCGAGATGTCGGCCAGTGGCAATCTCATCGACGACAAGTACAAGGAGAACAGCAACAAGATAGCCACCGAAGGTGCCGATGTGGACTTTGTGGCTGGTGTGGTGTGTCAGTCCTCCAAGACGTTCGCCTTCCCGGGACTGCTGCAGCTAACGCCCGGAGTGAAGATTGACGAGAGTGTGGACAAGCTGGGACAGCAGTACCAGACGCCCGAGCATGTGATCCAGGAGCGTGGCGCCGACATTGGCGTGGTGGGACGCGGCATTCTGCAGGCCTCCAATGTAGAGCAGGCGGCCCAGACGTACCGCGATCGCCTGTGGGCGGCCTATAAGGATCGCGTAGCCAAGTAAAGACAGAGGCTTCCCTTAGCATTCCGTATTTCAATTTGAATAGAAATTTCCCCCTACATTCGGTTTTGGTTAAATAATTTAAGCGCAACAAAAGACAAATTATTTTCACGATTTTAAAATGCATTTATGAATTGAACTCTAGATAAGAATTTTCCACAGAAAAACGTATCCAATGTTAAGATAAGAGTCACAACAAATAGAAGATAAAGTTACAACAATCGATGTGTGTGTTAATGATACGATAACAATAGTATATTATCTGATTCCTAGTAAGAAGCCAGACACTGCAATACGTAGCTATAGTCGCCGGATATATCGTCCTGTAAATGAAATCGAGAGGAGGAGAACATTGTTGAATCTTACGTAGTTTTGCCATCGAACTAAGCAAACTTTATTGTTGTTAATAGCAAGCACAATACTATATTTATATGTGTGCATATATACAAGTACTATATGCAGAATAATTCACAAGGAAAAACACATGTATACAAAATAAAACACACATAAAAAATCAGTATAATCGAGACGTTAGACGTTATTGCACAGAGGGAATTAGGAAACTACATAAATAATTTCATACGTTTCTTTTTTTGTTCTTTTAAGTTTGTTATTTCTTCGAAATGCAACATTTTCTGTTTTTTTTTTGTTTTTGGCTTTTTCTATTTTAGCAGTTGGGGGGGAAATTTGGGTGTATATATCGTATGCTGGCTGGATCCGCTCTACCAAGCCGCTAGTGTGACTAGCACATATCCAATATCGGTTTCCGCATCCTCCTGTGATGTTTGCAGGAAAGATAGAAGCGTGAAAAGAGCAAATATCAGAGCATTTTATTTTGTATACATTGCTTAAGGCTTGGCTTTAAGCCATAAGTAATTCTTTGTAAGAGAATGTTATAGGTTAAAATCGTGTAAAATGGTTGAAGGAAGGAATTCTTGGTTCTATTAGCATATATATTTATGATCTGATAGCAACATACATTTAAATTTTCGCGCGTTTTCTTTGTAAGTAACATGTACATGCCATCTACACGACATGTACTTTACATGCATAAGCAGTGTAAATGAACATTAGCGGAAAGCAGCTTAAGCAGTGTAAATCGCTTGAACTTACTTTTAAATTTTAAAGTACGTTATACTGATCAGGAATATATATCTATGAGAATAACCGTTTTTTTCTTCCACACACATATCTTATATAAATTTTAAACCTTGAAAAACCATTGCCCAAGTTAATGAAAAGTGTTAAGCGACTAACAGAGCGCTGTTAGTAACATGACAGGCAGTGCAGTATATCCACAGAAACTCAAATTGAATTTTATATTTTTTCATCGTTTTTATTTTTTTTATTTTGTTGCGTTTTTTAACGATTTAAATAGCAAATGAGACTCGAAAAACAAAACAAAACCATAGCATAAGCTAAAACATAGTCAAATGTTATATATATATGTATAAGGATAAAATTATGTGCATGTTTCGTGCATAGTTATAATAATTAACATGATGCGAGAGACGGTAGAACTGATTTGTAGAACTGAATCTAATTCTGTGGGCCTTAAATGCACTGTACATTGCTCGTCTTCTTGAAAATCTTGTTCCAGTATAAAATCTACACGAAAGTGTTTAACTATTCGATATCTGAACTCTCTCTTTTTGTACATTCTATTAAGTGTATGTGATAGATAGCTTAAGGCTTGGAACAGACGACAGTGAAAAGGTATTGTTGGAGCTGATTCTTGATTTTTGGTTGGGGGTTTCTTTTCTAGAATCCAACAATGGCCAATAGGGCGCGCTTATAATCGCCAGATGTGTCGCCCTAAAAATATAGAATATGCCACGTTTTAATGTTTTTTTGTATGCACACAAATGAAATTAAATCAAGTTTAAGGGAAAGTTATGGCATTGCGGGAAAGTACTGGGAAAATATCTACAGAATAGATCGATGCATTGCGGATATAGAAGAATGAGTTATGAGGTTTGCATTATAAAAAAAAGAACAGCACCAAAGGCAGCTAAATGATTAGATGGATTATATATCTCTCTGACAGATACGCATTCGATGAGGTGTTATTTTTGGGGTATCACACCCCGTGCAAGGCACAATCAAATGAGTTAATTATAAGGATAGTAAAAATCGGTATTTACCTTGATCCACGACTCCAGGCTCTTGCCGTACTTGTTCTGGAATGCCTCCTTGATGTCACCCAGATCGATCTCCGAGCGACTGACAACGATGCGGATTAGCGTCTTGTCCTTGGTGCCCATGCCAGCCATGGAATCGTGCAGACGCTCCGAGAAGTAATCGATCTTGGACTTGCAGCACTTGACTATAGGAAGAATTTTAATCATAAGTAAATAATTCAATCAGTTAGGAGTCCAAAACGTACCAATGGCAAGGAATCCCTTCTCCACAGAGCCACTGAATTCCTTCTTGATGGCCTTCTCGATGTCGTTGCCGGACAGGTTCTCGTATTCGAGGAAGATCTGACGCAGCTGCTGGTATGAGCGGGTGATGAGGATCGAGTTGAAGGTGGACTCATCAGTGCCCCACTGTCCCTCGCCGGCGTCGTGCAGAGCCTGAGCATCGGCGATGGCCGCAGCCTCATCGACGCCCTGGTTCTCGTCACGATTGCCTTGGACGAGGGACACGCAGAGGCGCTTGAAGTGTCCACTGGTGTCGCCCTTCAGGTCCGACTCCAGAGACTTGCCAAAGCTCTGCTCGTAGAACTGGGCAATGGTCTTGATGCCATAGTTGGAGAGGGTGCAGAGGATCTCAATGATGGCCTCCTCATCGGTACCCACTCCGGAGATGGCGTCGTGCAACTCCTGGGCATAGAACTGTGGCAGCGGTGTCATCAGAGCCAAAATCACATCCTCGAACTTGCCGCCCAGCTCCGACTTGAGGTCCGAAATCAGATCCTTGCCGTACGAGGTCTTAAAAGCCTCCGCAATCTCCAGACGCTGCACAATGCCGCGACGGGCCAGGATTTCAATGATCGCCTTCTCATCGGTGCCGAAGCCCTTCATGGCCTTGCGCAGGATTGCCGCATCCTCAACGGGATCGAAGGGATCTGCCGGGTAGACAGTGGGTGTGCACTAAAGATATAGAAACCACAGAGATTGAGTAAGTAAGTGAGTAACAAGCCTGAGTAATTCCTTATCACAGAGGGAGAGTGCGGCTGATGAATACTTGTGTTTTTTTCTACATATGTGAGGCACGTAATACCCGTAAAGGTTCTGCTCTCTGACTCAGCAGCATTAAGCAGAACAATGTTTTTAGAACTTATTTATACTATATACGATTATTTGCCTTTTTCCTTTTGTTATGCTAATTTAGCTTTGCATTGTACATTATCTGCGGTTCTTTCTTTTTTGGCACTGCTGTCAAGCTCTTATCAAAAAGAGACCTGATAGGAATTCCCAATCAACGGCACCTCATGCCCTATCTGTCAGTACTGGTTTTTCAGTAATTATCTCGACTACGAGTACTCTATACAATTTAATGAACGTGTAATTGCTCCAGTAAATTACAGATAATTGGTTTGTAGATTAAAGGAAAGACTTGGACTTTGTATGAATGGGATATCTTTCAGTGCAGAGAAACACCCTCTTTGGCTTAATAATATTAAGAAATAGAATACAATTCCTTCCCCAGATCCCCAGATTGAATCCATTCTCTACTCACCTTGAACGGATAGTATTCAGCGGAGCTCATTTTGATTTGGTTGTTTGTGGAAAATCTGTAAATGGCATAATAATAATAAATAATAATAATAATAAAGCATAATTATTATTAAATATTTGATGTGTAAAAGGAAACCAAATCGTGCTAGAGGTCGCATGGGAGCTAAAGAACGTGTTCAAACTCAAGACCGGGGCCCTGCCCTATGACATCATTCTAGAGAGGGCCGTGTTGGAAACTCTCGCAGTACGCATACGCATCAAACTACACATTTTCCCCATTGATTTTACGTACCCAAAGAGCCTGATGTTTTTCTAGTTTTATTTCTGCTTCAACCCGAACCAAGTTCAACGAAACGAACAACTGGAAAGGAAAGTGAAAGTTTTCAGTGGTTCGGTAGCTAGGGAAATGGAACTTAAATTGGGCTTGGGCTTGTCTGATAAGTATAAATGTTGTTTCGTGATAGCTGCAATGAGCAAGACGAAACCCACACGAAATGGCCTTATAAACGGATGAGCTCATTCCGTTCTGCTGTGGAACACATTGCGGACATGACACGTTTATGGCCAAGAGAGAGAAAGCTTCAGGGAAATGCCGCCACCCAGCCGACATACTATCCGCATCACCTGCCTCTAGCATAACCAGTTGGGTTGTCAACTGGGACACTATCTTATTTTTTTTTTTTTTTTGGCACATTGAGCTGATATAATCCGGAAAATCAATAGTGCCAAATGACTTTATAGTAAATGGTATTTTTGAACCAAGTTTCGGCAGGGGACATGCACATGTTGCGCCAGAAATATGCGTAGAAAGTCAACAGAAGATACAACAGAAAAAAACAACATTGAAAAAAGCAAAGACGTGGCGAAGCTTCCAAACAGGCCAAAACCATCAACAAAAACGCCTCTGCAGGCCAAAAGCTATAGAGCTATAAACAAACAACAATTTTCTTGGCCCCAACCATAAGATATTGTAGCTCTGGAACCGGTTGTTCTGGATTGTACATACATCTGCTTTTTTTTTGTGTTCAGACACAAAATTTATTGTTTTTTCTGGCAAACAAATTTTTGGAAGTGATGGAAGAACTTGAAAATCAAGAGACGACCACTTGAATGCCCTTCATTGGGGATGGATGGGTTAGACATCCAATTATTCATTCATGACGTTCTTCTATAAATAGCCTCCAAATGATCATTAAGTATGAATCATAGACTCGTGAGATCTGTGACGTCAATGTGAAGCTTTAGACGTGACTCGAGTTTTGAGACCGGAGAGAAAAACTAGAAAAAATGGGCCTTTAAAGAGAGCTCTGGAAATGGTCTAGCTCGTGACTCGTTCGAAAATGTGTGAATAATTTCATAAACAAAAGCTTTCCGACTTCGAACAACTCTTTTCGGACTGTACCTCGAATTTATATTCACGAATGTGTTTTATGGCAATGTTTAATAACTTAGTCGGTAGTAAACCTTGATGGCACACCTTTATAATTGCTCGACCTAAAATGCGATACCAATTGCAAGCAAAGGAATGTCACTTGACAACATACGATGCGATATGAGTAATACTATATAGTGCACTTGTATAGATGTGTCTGACTGTAGTTGGAATGGAAGCTTCCTGGGTGTGCAATTGAAGTTGATTGAATTAAGTAGAGAGATCGGATAAGCAGCACGATTCTTTTTTATTCTAAAGAACTCAATTGGAAATACTTTCGAAAAAGTAAAATAGAGTAAAATTGAAACGAGATGAACCACAAGTCACACGCGTCTGCGGCTGGGAGAGGAGAGCACAAAGCGTTAGAGAGAGAGCGAGACCGAGACCCCACCACATTTGATGATGTCATCTTTGGCTAGCAAATTAAGTGTTTTTTTCTCTCCTTTTATCTGGTTGTAGTTGAAAGGGGCGGCGCAAATTTCAATCGAAAAGTAAATAAATGTGAGATTTCATCTCTCTCTGGGTCCCAAGGTTGTGGCCACGTCCACGTTCAAGTGTTCTGTAGCTAATTCCCAGAATTACTCGTATAGTAATGCCCTTGGCATACGAAATCATACACTTTCTTTTGCACTTTTCGTTTGTTTTTGCACTTGTATTTTGTTGGTGGTCAGACAATACGACACAACGGGGCGGGACACAACGGGAACTAACAAAATGGGTAATCTAGGAGTGAAATTCCACAATAAATTTACCAAGTGATATTTTTAACGTACAAACTTTTCGAAGCGAACTGTAAGCGAGAGAAGAAAATACTGAATCATTTGACGCTCGCGGTCGTCACTTTTATATGTGGGGCTCTCTCTCTCTCTCTCACTGTGGGGCCGCTGCCGCTTCCATTGGAATCATTGGAAGTGTAAAAGCCGGTGTATGGGATCCAAAAGAGAGAGAATGAGAGGGAGTATTGGGGTGTTGGTGAGTTGGCGTCTTATGGGGGGCATCGCTGGTTTACAGACTAATTGAAAATATCAGATTTTTCACTGGTTCTCGGATGAAAATTGATTAAATTATAATCTATACACAGATTCCAATTAATTAATAGCATTATAAAGTTCTATGTATAAAGCTGTGTGTGCAGATCTCATCTAGATTGGAAAACCATGCTCTCCTAGGCTCTAGGCAAATACCGTATCTGGATGAATCACCAGATCAATGGAAGCTGCTGATGCGATAACCATGACGTGAATCTTAATATAGCTTTGATATTTACATAGTAATAATGGCGCCACAGGGAAAAATGTGAGGAAATTATGAGTAATCTGTTTCCAGTATCTGTTTCCAAATTAAGTGGGTCAGTTCATAACGGCTAAAATTTTGAACCGCTGTCGCTCTTCTCTTTTGGTATTCATTTGAATTGTATTTATATTTGTATTTGTATTTACGGTATATTTGTAAAATTTGACGGTATATTTTGGTATTTAATTTAATCGGTAATAACCGGTTGATAGCAATGCGTCCCATCCCAATGCATTTAACATTTTTGGGCAAAATACAAGAAATGCAAGTGTTTAAAATAAGCCAGTCAAGTAAAAAATAGGTTATTCAATTGTATAAAATTACGTCTTCAGGGCAGTGGGTTCTATATAGCTTGTAATATTCGACGGAATAACAGAAACGAGGAATATGTATAATAGAACTTGAATTCGTCAGTATAGTTAAGGTATATTTTTTAAATGAGACGGTATATTTTGGTATGTTTCTGAGGGTCGGACGCTATATTTTTTGTCCACAAATCCGCGGTCACACTGCACTCCATTCAATAATTCCTTTTCGGCAATTGTTTAAAAAAATTGTTTAAACATTTCCCGATAAACGTTCGACAACATTCTGCTACTTTTACAGCATCTGTTCTGCATTTATAGTTTGTGAGAAGCCCGTAAGTAAATCATAAATAGCCGCTATGCAGTTATGCAGCGACACAGCCCCTCCCATTTATTATCTGAATGTAAAAGAAAACCTGCCCCGCCGACTAGTGTGTGTTTATCTTTTGTGGCAGATAAGGATAAGCCAGTAGTATGTGGAAAGCAAGTGCTGGTCATCAGATACAGGCCACGAGTGCCGCCGAAGATGATGACTGGGAGACCGATCCGGATTTTATCAACGATGTCAATGAACAAGAGCAGCGCTGGGGATCGAAGACGATCGATGGCAGTGGCCGCACAGCGGGCGCCATTGAGTGAGTCATTATCTCATTAATTTCGCTGGAAATACGAGTTCATTGTTTTCATTAATGTTCTTTCCCTGTTTACAACAATGCCAGCATGGACAAGTTGCGCGAAGAGACGGAACGCTCGGACTTGGACAAGAAAAAGCAATTATTAAAGGATCAGAATGCTGGCTATGGCTACGGTGGAAAGTTCGGTGTGGAGAAGGATCGAATGGACAAGTCGGCGGTGGGCCATGACTACCAGGAAAAGGTGGCTAAGCATGCCTCGCAGAAGGATTACAGCGACGGATTCGGTGGTAAATTTGGTGTGCAATCAAATCGTGTTGACAAATCAGCTGTGGGCTGGGATCACATCGAGAAGGTTGAGAAGCATGCCTCACAGAAGGATTACTCGTCGGGCTTTGGTGGCAAATTCGGTGTGCAATCGGATCGAGTGGATAAATCGGCCGTCGGTTGGGATCACATTGAAAAGGTCGAAAAACACGAGTCACAGAAGGGTAAGAGATTCTCATTCTGATGGCTCAACAACACTATAGCCACGATTCTTTGTTCTAGATTACTCCAAGGGCTTTGGGGGTAAATTTGGTGTCCAGGAGGATCGTAAGGACAAATCCGCGGTGGGCTGGGATCATAAAGAGGCCCCACAAAAGCATGCCAGCCAGGTGGATCATAAGGTCAAGCCAGTCATTGAGGGAGCTAAACCTTCGAATCTGCGTGCCAAATTCGAGAATCTGGCCAAGAACTCCGAGGAGGAGTCGCGCAAGCGATCCGAAGAGCAGAAACGTTTGCGCGAGGCTAAAGACAAGCGGGATCGGGAGGAGGCAGCCAAGCAGACGGTCGCGGAGAACACTCCCCGAACCTCTACTGAAACGCCGCCACCGAAGGGCAGTCGGGCGGCCATCCAGACGGGTCGGGCTGGAGGCATTGGCAATGCCATCAGTGCGTTCAATCAAATGCAATCACCCGTCTCTGAGACACCTCCGGCACGCAAGGAACCCATTGTCATTCCCAAAGCACTGCCGCCTAAAGTGGAAGTGGCTGACGAACCACAACCAGAGTCACCAGCTCCGGTTGCTGCTGCTGTTCCTGCTCCCGCTCCTGCGCCTGTTGTGGTCAAAGAGGCAGCACCCCCCGCAAAGGTCATTGCTCGACCTCCGGATGTTGTGCCTCAGATTGAGGTTGAGACCGTGGACACGCCCCCCAGAAGTGAACCCACATCCCCAGCGCATGAGCCAACGCCTCAAGTGCAACGTCAGGCCGAACCGCAATCGCAACCGCAACCTGAACCTGAGCGAGAGCCTGTGGCGGAACCGCTATATCAAAATCAGGCGGAGATTAAGGCTGCCTCGCCACAGCCACCGGCAGCTTCCCCCCTTCCACCATCAACGAATGGTGCCACGCCTGAGCCTGCCCCAGAAGCTGGTGCTGCTGCTGCCACAACCTCTGAGGAGGCCATCTATGCAAACTCTGATAATCTTGCCGACTACTTGGAGGACACTGGCACACATGCCCTGGCGCTCTTCGACTACCAGGCGGCCGATGATGATGAGATATCGTTCGATCCCGACGATTTGATCACCCACATCGAGAAGATCGATGATGGGTGGTGGCGTGGACTGTGCAAGAATCGCTATGGCCTCTTTCCGGCCAACTATGTGCAGGTTGTCGAACAAAATTCCTAAGTTCCATGAAACAGTATGCTTCCGTTTGAAATTCACGATAGAACAAAATCAAATTGTATTTACTTTACTTACTAACCGAAACAACAAATAATACAGATGTTGGATTATAAAATCGATCCACTACTAACCCAAACCCATTTTGTGTGCCCCTCCCCCCACAAGCATTGTGTCCCATTTTGTGTGCAACGAACTGCTAGAGATTGAAATTATTATTGTAATTTGTTATTCTAGCACTTGAACGAACTATTCATGGTATTCCATATATATTTGATATATCATTTACAAAAATGACCATTTTACATTCTTTTTGTATCATTTAATAGTATATTTTTCAAAGAAAATACTATGCCAAACTATATTTATGTTTTTCGCCTTAAGAAATCGCATGTGCAAAAATTTTTACATTATTCATTTGATATTTTATTAGTTGCTTATGAAGTTTTTGATGATGTGTCAAAAGAACGATTTTGCTCTTTTTAAATTGTATAAAGTCTATGAATGTTTCCCATGTCAGGTAAAATCTAATGTTAAAGACAGTCACAACAGAAAAGTCTGCTCTTTTGATAAATAAATACTTAATAAAGTTTATCAATAACAAATATTATTTAAGGATGGTTTTCAGAGTCACGACGTCGTTTGGTTTCCTCTTTAGTGTGTGGTAGGGCCTTTGCAGGGCTGCTTCTCTTGAATAAAGTGCCTTTTTTTCTTATCTTTTGCCTACACACTTGACCCAAACAGTGAATAATTCAAGGGATACTTACAATTGCTGAAATGGCGTACTATATACTGGTCGTTTGTAATGAATCATATCATTTATGGTGCAGTGGCAGTGACAGTGGCGGCTGGACAAAGGGAATGAGAACTTTGCATTGTGCCGATTAGTCAGTTTTTTCTTTTCAAGAACAAGCCATATTTCCATAGCTTAGACACGGCGACATGTTATTTAGCTTATCACAAATATTGGGCGTCGGATCACAATCGAAAGAAATGTCAGACCAAATCAAAATCAGTAACCGATAAAATTGATTTATAAATTGAATTTTTGATTTTAGAGGGTATTACGATAAAGTGTGCGTGTTGTGGGTAGCGTTGGAAATACTACATTGAGATTGTCTGTCAAGTCAAATGCTTGTGTGGGACGGGGTCTAAATCTCGTAATTGTATACGCGTAAACTTACCGTAAACCTGTGGTTAATGATAAAACAGAGGGCCAGATAGCGAGGGAGAGAATAGTCCCAGCCCCTACGGAAAATTTGTCGTACGTCATGGGGCGTGGGCACGAATCTGCTGAGGGTCCTGAGGTATTATCAAAAAATCCCCTATCAAAAAACGCTCCAGCCAGCCGTTGGTGGGCACGGCATGTTTTCTCGCTCTGCCCCCTCTGTCCCTCGGGGGCTGTAATCAGCAAAACATAAGCCTCGCGAGCGAGCTACTGCCGGCAGCCAGAGAGAGAGCAGAGGCAGCATTTGTATTTCGAATAAATAGCGGCTACAGTTAAACGCCAGCACTCGTCATTCAGCGGTGATCGTGTTCAGAGGCAGACGTGCGAAACTCAAAACCAACGTATTATCGTTACAGAGGTATGTTAATTTAGCAGCGAGCTTACAGCGAATGAAAAAGTTCGTTCTTAATCGGTATATTAACGGTATATTTCGGTATATTTTATCGCGGTCAGAACAGGGTGAGCATTTACCATTATATATTTAAATATACATTTTGAAGTCGGTAAATATCAATCTATTCAATTTGCATTCAAATCCTTGTCTCTTATTCACTTCCAAACAATTTCTATTTGGCGCGAAATTCTCGTATCCACGACACGGATTTTAGCAACATACTAAATACCCTGGGGAAAAGGATATTATAGAATTGAGGATATGTTTGTCATCTCAGGCGCCAAATCTATTTTAACGATATTTTGGAGTTAGTAATCTTCTAACAGAAACCAAGAATAGGTACCGGGATCGATATATATATCATATGCCTAAATAGTAACATAGTAATAGGGTAAAACATGTCAATCTGAGACAAAGTCATTAGTTATTCGAAACGTTCAGCTTGGAAAACAGAATTTAAATGTTCATTTTATGATATAGGGTATAGATATATCCGAACTAATAGGGGATACCTGTTCACCAGCAACATTCCATACACACTTACGTTTTAATCGGCCATTGTTTGACCTTTTTTGTTTGAACCCTTTTTTATACACAATCAAATATAGAAGAGAACTTAAAATTAGACAATCATGTAGAAAATTGATTCATTAATCGGGTAAAATTATGTGTTTACTTATGAGTGATTTAGCTAAGTAGTAATATTTAACCGAATAGAAAAATCGAGGACTATGATTTTCGAACATGAACACAAACCGATTAACCCATTGCTGACCAGTCGGTATTAAAGTAAAAACCACGAAAATAATACGTCTTGAAATATTTTTGCGTTGTTCAGGTAAAAGATATTGTGGGGGTTTTTTTAAAGTTGAAAGAAGGCTAGGATGGATTTAGCAAGATGAATTTACAACCAGTAATATATGTCGCATTTTCCCTCAAGGTGTTCACCTAGTTAATTAAAGGGGGCTTAAGTGGGCTAAGTTCGTTTTTTCATCGGCATGAGCAGAGCAGCTGGTTGCAAGAAAAAAAGTTATTAAACAAAAAGAGCTGGCGGCATAAGGGGAGGGGACGCACGAAACGAAACTGCATGTCACGTCGCTGTGGCCGCCAGATACTCGTCAATTGCCGTTAAATAAGTCAACAATTGGAAGCTGAAGCAGAAGTTCCTCCGCTGGCACTGACTGGGCTCTGCTCGCTGCTTCTGTCTGGTGTTGTTTGTTCAACGTCACCGAATTCGTAAATTGTTCCACGAGCGGGTCTTACGGAATGAGTAAAATGTTCATAAAATGCATATAAGTGTTGTGTCGCCTTCGTTTAGTGCTCTTCTTGTGTGTGTGATATAATAAAGGAAAACAAAACGGTTTGAAATATTTACCAGACCAATACTGTAATTTTCGCCGCTGCCACCTTCCCATCCATCCCGCACCACCCAATCAACAAGCTGTTGCAAGTAAGCCAAATTGTGTTGAAATTAAACCTAATTCTCGGTTAGGAAGTGGTGTTAACCTGAAATATTCAATAATTTACATTATGGCTTATCTTGTTGGCCATCATCTCTCTCATTTTATTATGTTGAGAGTGAACAAAACATATGTGTGAGGTGTGTGAGTGTGTGTTTGTGAGTGCGCACGCAGGTGTGTGCCAATAACAAAACGTGGGTCCCATGTTGTATTTTAGCAAGGTGAGGTCTTTAAATATCCCTCAAGGAGTGAGAAAGAGTGAAGAATATAAAGCTGTGAATAATCTTATGGAGTTGCTTAATTGTTCTACCTCTATCTCCAAGTCCAAATAAGTAAACCATGTTCAGAGCTTTCCTTGAGAAGACATTACCTTATCGCCTCTTTAACTTATTGAGGCACTCAAAGAATGGTTTTTTTTTTTGATAAGAAACGACTTTTAAAATGGTAATTGCTAAACAATAGGACGCAAATATTCCCAGTGTTTGTGCTGTCGTGATAAAAAAGCCCTAGCGTTTGTACTTCAAAAACCTGCAACGAATTCTAAACTTAAACCGAATAAGTAGAGATCAAAAAAGCAGTTAACCCGTCGTTGGTAAAAAAGTAATTTAAAAGTTGATGTTACTATAATTTAGGAATATTTTCGCTAACATTGTCTGGTGTTTTGTTGTCAGCTAAAAATTTTAAGTTGATTTTTTTGCATTTTCCGCTTATTGAGCAAATTGCTACGCAGTTTTTTAAATTTTTTGTTTTGTTTTGGACAGCAAAAAATAAGCAACTTTTATTTGGAGGGAGGACAAAGTCAAAATACACAAAATATACACAAAAAGAAATGCCAGAGATGGGGGACCGACGTTTTATATACCCTTGCAGATTGATTGATCCTGTTTCGGACATCAGAGATGCTTGAATGGTGCAAAATCATAATACCCCTTTCGAGTGTAGAAAAATATGGAAAATTAAATTGGTGTGGTATTTAATGTAGTGGATTTCTTTGTTTATTTTGGGCGTACACGAGTATTTCATCTGCAGTAATCAGAATTTATGACTTCTGATATGTACAATCAAGGAACTATCAACAATGTTTTCCGCATGGCGAACACGTAGCTAAAATATATACGTACACATATCGCAATATACGATATCATTCTGAGTACTATGGAAGACATATTTGTGTGTGTGCATCAGAGACCCACAACTGGGTAAACAGAACCGTTTAAATGTTGAGACAAATACTACACGTATTCCAATGAACCAGAAAACGAAACCAACAGTTGGATTCATTACAATTTGCGTTAAATCTTGACCATAGATAGAAGCCAATTGGCCATTAATGGCGACATCTAGATATGACCAAACTTGTGTGTATAATATATAAGTAAGGCCTCTACATAATAAGGCATCGCCCGATGCTCTGCAAGTCTTTGTCTGGAAAGCAGCAACTGCAAAGCAGACGCAGAGGAGGCGGCGGCCAGACGAGAGCGCCTGTCAAGGTGAACCAGCTGATGGTATTTCCAACCTGCTGGAGGGAACAATATCTTTTGAAGAGCTCGCCAACAAGCATTCATTACACAGTTATTACACACATGTATAATGTGCTTTTAATCAAATAAACAAATGGAAAGAGTTACATATGTGCAGGTCAATAGACTGCTTGTTGTATCACTTGCAACTTGATATTAAATCGTTTCGTTAAGTCGCAAATAAAACAAAATTACAGACTTGAAATACACTTGTAGACTCTTAGAAATGATTCACAAGGCCTGTGGCTGTAGTGTTATTTCCTCATCCGTGCGTACTATATATTTATATAATATATATATTACAGTAATACGCTGTATCAGCGTTATCAATTAAACGGAACATGTGACTGTCAAACTACGAGTAAAAAACTCGTACATATGTACATCTGTATATTTTCTGTTTTATTGCCACATGTGTACGAATGTATACCGGGAAAATGTTTCTAGTTTTCGGATGATCACTCCAAATTTGAAATGGAATATGGAATGTTATGGCTGCAGAAATCGCAGTCGGAGATAATTATATTTTATAACTTTTTGTTTGTTGTTTTTATTATGATAATGCTAATTGAGTCAGAGATCAGACAGACGTAATAGTAGATGCTCAATTAAATGGAAGTTGTGAGAATCGCAGGTGCAACAATCGCGCACATTGAATATTTTTTTTATGTATAATTAAACGTAGAGCCTTTGATGGACAGTCAAAACAA